GGTGGTAACCCGATCTAAGATGAATCTTGGAAAAACAAGAAGCACACTGAAGTTCAAAAAAATCATCTATCCTTAAAAGAGGATACCTATTCTCAATGGTAACCTTATTTAATTGACGGTAATCTATACATATCTTAAGGGAACCATCATTCTTTTTCACAAATAATACCGGAGCACTCCAAGTTGAAAGACTTGGTTGAATGAAACCTATATCTAACAGATCTTTCAACTATTCTTTCAATCTTGTAACTCTCCTAGTTCCATTCTATATGACAGGATATAGATAGGAATAATATCTGGAAGAAGATCTATACCGAAGTCTATCTCTCTCTTATTAGGGACACTATGAAGATCATCTGGAATGACTTTTTGGAAGTCTTTCAATATTGGAACTTATTGAATGGGAGGTATATCAACACTAGAGTTATTAACTCGGACTAAGTGATAGACACACCCCTTAAAAACTAACTTCCTCGCCTTAAGGAATGAAATGAAACGAACCTTAGGCACTGCTAAACTGCTTTTCCACTCTAAGAGTGGCTCATTTGGAAACTAAAACTTGACTATTCAAGTTCTACAATCACCTAAGGCATAAAAGGCATGAAGTCAATCCATACAAAGAAAGACATCGAAGTGTACCATGTCTAACTCAATTAAATCAGCCATAGTACTCTTGGGATTAACGGAAATGGGACAATCACGATAGAATCTTTCTGCTATAATATATTCACCAACACGTGTGGAGATACTGAATGGTTCACATATTTAACACGAATAATATTAAAGTCCATAGCAACATATGGAGTTCAAAAAGATAAACTCGTTCATGGGTCTAGCAATGCATATACAGTAAAGTCAAACACTTGAGCCAGTGACAACATCTGGAGAGTTCTCATGCTCTTGGAAATTGTTGAGAGAATACAAACGGTTTGTTCCTCAGCCAGTTCCGAAAGTAGCTCCTCTAGGTTCACCCCTGTCTTGTGGAGCAACTGAAGAAGCCTAGGCTCTATTTCCCCCACTACCATTCCCTGCTTATTATTAGGTCACTCTATCATGAAATTCTTGGTCTGACCACACTCTAAACAACCCTTTGAGCCCTCATGACGAACACCAGAGTTGTTTTGGCCACACTTGGTGTAGGAAGGAGGATTACTACCCCCTCGCACCACACGACCCTATGAATATACTGGCTTAGCTTTAGAATTCTGACAATAGTATTCATCCTTGTTCTTAGATGCAGGTGCATTAGTAGATGATGGGGCATGATTCTTTGGTTGGAAGGATGATTGGTTGGAATTACTTTTCTGCTGGCCCCATTCACTCCTTGTCTTAGCTCTCTTGCTTCTATACTCTTCTCTATCCCTAAACTTCTTCTCTTCAACCTACTGCAGAGAAACCATCAACATGTATATGTCCATGTCTCCTATCAGCATTGTAGAACTTCCCTCTTTGCTTGATGCACGATCCATGCAAGCACAAACAAGCTCATCCTGCTCCTCATGTCCTAAACCATTTTAGGTACATAGCAGGACAATTGGGTGAATTTCAACCCATACTCATGCGCCCTCAAGGAGTCCTATTTCGGTGAAAGAAACTCTCGTACCTTAGCCTCTTTAAATTCTCAAGGAAAGAAATGCTCAAAGAGATCCTTCTCCAAGCAGGCCCAACTTGGAAGTGGTGCATCCTTATCTCTATCCTCCTTCCACTAATCAAACCTAGTCCTAGACACATTCTTCAGTTGATATACAACTAGCTCAATTCATTCAGCATCAACAACATGCATCACATCAAAAACATTCTCCAACTCCTCAAGGAAATTCTCCGGATCCTTAGTAGTGATCGAACTGGTGAAACTAGGAGGATTCATCCTAAAGGATTCACGAATCCTCAAAGTGTTAGCCACTTCTTGTTGAGCTCATCTCTTATGACAAACTTGATTAGTCACTACTTGACTGAGCATCCTCATTGCCTCTCTGAACTCAGCATTAGAAACTTCTCCTTGCGGTTGTACTTTAGGTGCATTGGGCAACTCTGCTTCTCTACATTCCTCCTAGATGGATGACCTCTTACTGCTCTCCCTGGAGGCAAGGTTATCTGAAACACATGCAAGCACGAATTAGAGAGAAACTTTGAGATGACTCAAACGCACGAAAGGAATATGAAAGAAGTGAGGAATTTCCTAATTTTTTCAGCCTCCTAATTATAGATGTGACACGCTTCACACCGATAACTAGGACTTTACAGACATAAATTCATAGACTCCCTAAGACTCTTGAACTCTATGATCTAATACCAAGTTTGACACGCCCCAAATATATATCCTTGACATGGCCGGCACTCAAAGACAATCTTTGGCCTCAAACAGACCCTTGGTCTGGCTTACATAACTCAAGGGAAGACAACAATCATTACTATAATGATCACAGAACTGAACTAAACTGAATAATAAGATAACAACAATACCTAAAGATTTAAATATTTAATTTGGCTAAAATGGCAACCTAAGTCTTTAACATAAGAATGATAATGCAAAGACCCTTGAATTACTAACACTTGACTGTCTATCTATGAAGCCTTCTAAAATTGAGATAAATGTTGGGACAGACCCCACAACATCTTAATAAAGAAAATACTGAAAAAACAACAAAAGGAGTCATCCGAAATGAAAAGAGGTTCACCAACTGACTCTAAACTGCTCAACTGGATCAACAGTGCATCACATGCCAATCCTTGTTACATGCATCTGCATCATGATACCATGCAGGCCAACTGACATCAGTACTTGAATGTATGAGTATAAGAATTGGACTGCTAAAATAACTTAATCTTGAAAGGAATAAGCTGCTCAACTCAAAAATTACAAACTCTTTTCAATATAAAGCAATTTAAAAGCAACTGCGGTATAAAGAAAAATTATTTGAAAACATGTTGTAAACTCTAAATGTGTACAATGATACAATTAACTCTGAGATGTATGTAAAAATACAATTCAACTAATGTATATAAATAAATACATTTAACTTATGTGAGAGTTTCTTTCACCGACAACCATCACTTAAGAGATATAGTTATGATACAACGATCTACCTCACGCTTCCAGCGCATTCTATACCTGGCAAAAGGTATAAGACCTGAACACCCTAATTGATTTACTAGTCTACTGTGAAAAGAGTTCATCTAAAAGTATGACCTTCTTCTACCCTGGTGGCTACATGGTTTATGGGGGCTGTCAGTTTTCTAAACTCTCCCCACATCGGTGCTCAATAATACTCCCAAAATACACTGGCTCTTATGTTTTAAAACACACTAATTCTTTGGTTTAAGATTAGTTCTCAAAATACTTAGCACAAAGGCTATCTTGGAAATCTCAGTGTCCCTGCTTGCTTCAATTAGAAAGTTATATCTCTTTAACTAAAAACTAGCCCAAAGGCTCTTTGGGAATCTCATTTTCTCTTCTTTTTAAATTTGAAAACATTGTAAGTTCTTTTGGGAATAATTAGTTCCCATGTACTGTTTTTTGGGAATATCTCACTTTGCTCTAAACTAAACTCAAGCTTAAGGCTTCAAACGACACAAAAATGTTTTTGAAAGACTTATGAAACTTGAAATGAACTTCTCCTTCTTATGTTTAGTCCTTACTCAAATGTTCTTTAAGTCTTGAAACAAGTTTAAAATATTTGCAAAACACTTCATGAAATGACTTTAGGAATTCTCTAGACTTGGCTCTAACTTTTTGTTAAATTTGAAGTTATGAATTCAAGGTTGTAAATTCGTGTTGCTGGTTGATTTCTATATGATTAGAAGTCATTTAGAGTAGTTAGAATCATTAGGAAGTGTTAAAACACCTTAGAAAGGCTTAAACGGACTAAACTACAAAAATTGGGCGAAAAATGCCTATTCGGGCGCGTCCTCGGAACGTCGCACCATACCCAATGGTTTGAGGCTCCATATGGGCATACAGTAGGCGCGCCTCCCTAGACCCTCTAGCGTAGATTGGGTGCACCGTGTCTGAACCTACCCATATGACGTCTGACAAATAGTTCATTAAATATTTCAATGCTAAATCCCGTAAACTCCATTGTTATTTTCCCAAACCCTTAGGATCATCTATACATTCAATCCCCAATAGATCTAACTCAAAAAACAACCCGGAATTATGAATCAAAACAATAGTAGGCATTCAACAAGTCAATCCTTAAGGAACTTCACTATTCTCATTCAATGAATTAGAAAATCATGGGACTTAAACAAGTTTGATATGTGGGTGAACGGACCAAAACTAAATGATCTCACATACTTTGATAGGGATCACCCTCGACGAATTCCACTCGCAAAACCTTGACGTTCTTGGCAAACTCTTGACTTTTCTCCCTTACCTTCTTATTTTCTCTCTCTCCAAGCCCTAACCATAAACTTTAATTTACTATCTGAATTAAAACTTGTTTTTAGCCCAAATAAATCCCTAAAACGAAAGAGGAAAATTAATTGTTGAAAAGACTAGTTTGCCATTCCTTAAATCTGGATTGAGACTTTCCTTACTTCAACGACTAAAATTCCGATAGGAATATATCTATCATACGATATCAAAATTCCCAAACCCATAGGTGTTGAAAAGATCTATTGAATGTCTTTCTAACCATATCAAGAACTACCTCTAACTCATCCTGAGCTAGAAGTTATGTCTATTTGACAACGAAAAAAACTCACTTTCTTAACTAAAATAATTTTCCACATTTTCCCTTTTCTTTCCAAGAATGAATATTTTATTTCCTTGGTTTATTCTTAGCTATTTTAAATTTGTGAGATGTTAGATCTTCTAAGGAAGAAATTACTTTCGTTTAAGATATTATTTGAATTGACTTACTTTAAAAAGATAACAAGTCACTTTTTAATCGAGTGAGGCCCATTTATTCATAAAAGCAAAGAAAATATTTACAAATAACCGAGACCAAAAGTGATCCGGTCCAGAAGTAGAAGCATAAGCAAATGTAAATAATATCTATAGAAATAATAAAAACAAAAAGTATATTAGGAAAGTGAGAACACGAATAGTTGGAAGTTTGTAGCTTCTTTCTTATACGCTCCTCCAAATTCCCAATCTTTATACACTTCCATTGTTATGATTCAAGCTACAATCAAGTGATATCTTTAGTTCTATCTATAATCAAAGCGAGATCTTTAATTCTTGCCCTCCAATGTTAAAAGAGTTTTAATGCATATCCTCATACGGTTTTAAGGCGATGACACAGGCATGGAATCGCTCTCATCTTCAATCATTTGAACCAATAAAATCTCCAAGGTTAGTTCTTCATCTCATCACTCTACCTTGTTTGTCACTGAAACCAATCATCAAGGGAGTTGTGAATCCCTCGGTTAGATCTACTACTAGTGAGTGCAGAGTTTGGTGTAAATGTAACTCTTCATGCTAAGCAAGTTCTACTGTTGCGTTGAAGCTCAACTCTAGCCTTCAAAATGTGCAGATCCACTATCCACATATGCTATGACCAAAATTAAGGGTCTAAGTTTCAGCTCTATCTTGTTGAAGTTTTATCTCCCTACAAAGTCTCAATGGATTGAACCCCATTCAGGATTAATACCATTATTTAAGGCATTCTTTGGACGATTCTACCACAATGAAATTAGAGAAAATCGATGTTGCATCCTTTTCTAGGTTTCTACAGTTTCACCTTGTTGATGGCGATTTTTAGCTGAAACTAGAATTTTTATTTGGTCCTAAATGGACACCCTAATCTCTCACCATGTTTAAGTACAAAAATCTGTGGATGCACATACCTCTGTTTGCTCTGTTAATTATGTAGATGCCTCCTTATGTATGGTGTACCATATTTGGCTAGATTAAATATCTTCTTCTATGTGCTATGAATTTTTTGAAATTGGTTAATCTAAATTCACCTACAAAGGATAAAACTAAATTAATAAGAAAATATACAAGCGTATTTCCTTTTTTAAGGGAATGTTTACTCTTGTTAAACATCTCTTCTCAATCTCCTATTGATACTAATCTCGTATGCCACACTCCATGACCCATTCCATTCTCCCTCCGACATATGCACCACAACTAAAGGGTAAGTCTGAATAATGACAATTGCAATTTCATGCTCAATAGATTAATTAAGAGTCTCCCTTGTAGCTCTAGGTTCCGCTACTATGTTGGTTGTATCATAATTCTGAAACCTTTAGGTACTACCAGATTACCACTATGATTTATGATACAAAATTCTGCTGAATCCATTGTTGCATTACCGTAAATTAGGAGGATGAGGCTTCCATCTTACAATTTTAAAAGAGAATTGAGGTTTGTAGTATTCCAATTCTGAGAGAATACAAGGCCAAGAGTTGCTGCTTCATTTCCCTTTTAATCTCACGAGAATAAATCTTAAAATTGTATCATTAATACCCCATAGCACTCTAAATTCTTAAAAGGAACCTCCACCAATAATAGGATTCATTCGGTTCCACGGAAACTATAAAATAATGTAAGGATAGCTTGAAAAACTACCTTCACTCTATAAATGCCTTATACTGCCTGCCACAACCTTATGGACTGCTGCAAGTTTAGAATAGGCCCCACAATTCCCACCATCTGTGATTTAATACTAACCCTACCCCATTCAGCAGCATGTGTTCTAGAAATGGGAACCTCCTTTCCATTGAACAAGGGCATGTATTTGCTTTCTAAAATACTTCATCCGTATAAATTTAAATCATAATGTAGTTTCAATTGTGGAATAGCTGTTAAGTATTTTTTTAGTATTAGCTTGAATAAGGAAATATTTTTAAGCACTTATCATAACTTGTGATTTTTTTGGCTTATAAGAAAAGAGATATAATCTTATACAAATAGGCTCTTAGTATTACCTCATTCACTACACTAATCTAGCAAGAGAAAAAAACTTTAATATCAATATGCTATACATAATTCAGAAGTATAATGTGTTTAATTTTAAGAACTTTAAAATTTAACTAATTAAATTTAAATTATAAATATAATTTGGGAAACATTAATAGATTAATTATTGCTAGAAACACCCAAAATGAGAGTTTCAAGTCCCATATAAGATAAAGTAGGAAATATAAGTTAAAAAGTTAAATTTAGAGAAAAGAAAAGAACAAAATGGTCTGAGCAAAATCTATGAAGGCTTACATAAATAGGAAATAAGAAGTAGTATCAGTTTATTTTGAGCTTACACAGGGGATTTAGTTTCTCAAGCCTTCATATTTTTGGATGAAGGTTAGAAATTCAATTAGTAGTAAATCAGTAATAGTAATATTTCCCAATGTAAGAAATTGTTGATGCAATTTTAGTTAGTTGCAACATAAATTTCTTAGTTACTACATTCTGATTTCTGTATGATTTATTAAAATATATATTCTTTTATTTGATGTTTCAAGTTCTTATTTGCCTGCCTTATTTATACTAGTTTCTCTTTTAATGTAGCAACTTATAATGATCCTATTTTGTTTGGTTGAAATTATATATTTTGTTATTAACATCTATGATAGTATATTTTTCTAATTTAATACTGCTTTGAGTGTGATTTAGTCACGAGAGTCTTGTATTGGACTTTGTAATCAAAAGCATCAATGGGATAAGAATAGTTGCATGTAAGTAAGAATCTATAAAGCCTAATACTTGCAACTTCAACTTCATCATTAAAAAAAAAGTAAAAAAATTAATTCATCATTAATTTTATACAGTGTTTTTTGTTGTCCCTTATTTACTATTTCTTTTATTTCATATGAGAAAAAATCAATTCTGAATTGGTGATTTTCCTTTGCCATTGAAAATAGTAAGCAATTATGATGTTTTCTTTTAATATGTAAAATATTTTTTTTATAACGTTCAAGTTAAATTTCTTAAAATTTCAAAAAATTGAAAAATAACAAAAAATATTTCTAATTTTCTTTCCATTTCATTTAACTCATAAAAAGTTTAAAACAACTTCAGTTAATATCTTTTATCGAATACAATTGCATGCAAGGCAATTGTATTAAAAATTTGCTCACTTTTTTCAATAGAAGAGGAAAATCACCAATTAAAAATTGGTTTTTAGGTCGGATGAAATAAGAGAAACAACATATAAGGGACAACAAATAATAATATATCAAATTGGTGATGAAGTTGAAGTTACAAGTCAAGTATTAGGCTTCATAGGTTGTTACTTGCATGCAACTATTTCATATCCTATTGGCGCTTTTCATTACAAAGTACAATTCAAGACTCTGGTGATTGATGATGAAACATATTCAATACAAGACTTTCAAAGGACAATTTGAATCGGAAAGTATTTTGTCATCATATACTTAGAGTTCAAATATTTGGCGATACAAATAAGAATGAAATTTGTAAAAAAAAATTATGTTGTGAAAAACTCTTTAACACAAGAATTTGTGGATGGTTGAAATTGTGTAAATATAAAAGAATGGTCATTCTAATTTACCTCTATTGAGACTAGAAGGGAAAAAAAAGAGAGAATTGTAGTTCTCTTAACGACTTAGTATAAAAAGTCAAAACCTAAAATAAATTGTCCCCTAAATTTAATTATTCATATTGTTTTTCTTTAACCTGTATAAACTTTGCAAGAGGAATAATCATATTGATTCAACAGAACAAAACTCCTCAAACCGCTGATATGAAGAGTTATGCGGTAAGAAGACCTGAAATGGTTGTTTAATATGATGTGCTTAGATAAGTATGCTCTTAATTCATCATACTAACGCTTTACCATTTGAAAATTTCATAAGTCAAAAGGAAAAAATGTCGATCGAGGCAAAGAAGTGCATTGAGACTGATAAATGGATCAATTGTACAATGACATTTAATAGTACCAAGAACATTAAGGTCTCAGATAAACAAAGAGAAAGTTTTAGTTAATTGTTTTATCCAAGGATTTGAGTTAGAAATTGACAAATTGGTCAAAAGACTGTTAAAGTCATTAGAGCATCAATGCCGCAAACTAACTAACACTTTTGAACTAACAATTTTCTAATTCTTTCGCTCAACAATGTGATAAAGGAAATGTTGTATTACAAGTTAGAAATATGAAAAATCATATCAAAAGTTCTCAAAAGTCTTCTGATTTTTTTTGTGTTTCATCACAGGCTATTTGTATTTTTTTCTTATAAATGTGAAAACTTCTAGTAATGCGTCCGATCGTTCCATCAATAGGAAAACATCTCCTAATTTTAAAAATCAAGTGCATTCCATACCAATATTTCATTCAAGTGCAATACACAACAATCTTTCATTTATGTGCAATACACAACAATCTTTCATTCATGTGCAGTACACACAATCCTTTATTCCTTACACCCATATGCTTATCTTGGGAAATAAGCACAAGTATTTCATACATGTGCAATATGCACCATATTAATGCTTTAGGTAATACACCCCTATCTTATATGAATCAACAAGGACAATACTTCCCATTTGAAACTCTCAGGGCAATATGCCTTATTGTCACTTTTCTTCCTAGGGTCATCGTCCTTGTTTGTGATTCTCATATCTTTTCTTTTCCTAAAAAAGCACGACATGTTCAAAGTTTTCATTTTTTAACATTATGTTTTTGTCTTCTATCTCCACCTCAATTCAAATACATGCACTTGAGAAGGATCCTTAATATTCCAAGAGATCATGAAGATCAAACTTAAGAATGAAGCACAAAGAAAGTCAAAGATCAACACACAACCCTAAGAAGACACATCAAGTAGGGATCTTGTTACTCCTTAAATGTAGTGAACCATAGTTCTCTAGGTCTTTTTATATTATAATTATAGATGAAAGATGGTGACAAACAATAACAAGCAAATTTTTTACCACTATTTTTGAGAGTTTCGGAGCTATCAAATTTTCACGAACTACACTGGTCTAATTTCCTTCTAGCCAAGGATATATGTAGGAAACCTGAAAAGCAAGGTTCAATCATATATTTTAAAACTGATCTCAATGGAGTTTCAAATAATAATAAAAAATTAGTCATTTCATTCACTTCCTTTGGTTCAAAATCTCTCCATTACTCCAAGTAAAGAGGGGCATGTTTGATTTTTATCAATGGCTTCTGCAGACCTTGGGAATCACGCCGTATAAAGGTCCCATGTACTGTGAAGTAAATTTTGGGTTTCTGAAATCGGTTCTATGGATGTCCAATATAGACCATAGGAAGTTCTACGGACCGTAGGTCCAAATAGTAGGAACCCTTCGACAATTATTTTTAAGGGTATTTCGGTCTTTTCCTATACAATAAATGACTATAATTTTGTCGTTTGACCCCTATTTGTAAGTCCTATAACTATCCTTCTACCCCTAAAACTATCCAAAAACTCTCATTGACTCAAATTCCCAATTCACATCCACGTTCATCTTCCTCAACTCTCTCTCTCTCAAGTTCAAGAAAGAAGAAGCTGGTATTTTCAAATCAAGTGTTCCTTTTCACCATTGCTTTTGGGCTTTTATCCTCAAGGAATGTTGATTTCATCAATGGGCTCAATTCACCCATTGAGTCCTAAGGGTTTCTCAATTTTCCAAGTTCATTTTCATCAATTTGATTAGGTTTTCATTCAATACCTCATGATTTCTAATGGTGTTGATTAAATTGTTTGATTTTGATCCTTGTATGATGGTTTTGGTCAATTACATGGTTTTCAATTTATATCACATAAACCCATATATTGATCATGATTTTTACTATGAACTTTCAAATACATGAATTTATGAAGAAATTATGAATCTATAAATGATGTTTTTATGAAGGTTATGCATCATTATGAAAACAAAGGTTTTATGATTTAGGTTGTTTTAATATAAGCATCAATGAAATTGCGAAATGAATTTTTCACATACAAAGGAATCATGATTTGTGAAATCTCACACATGGTTGATTCAAGATTTAGTGAGTTAATCTATGATATTTTAAACATACCTGAGTAGTTTTCTCCTAAGGAGGAATAAAGGAATAAAGTAGAAAGGGAATATTTTAATACGCAAGAACAAGGAGAAAAGAAGAGGAAAGAAGGAATAGAAAGCGAATTGTCGTGTCGCTTTTTGTATCACACACACACGCGTGCATGCACAGGCACACGCACACACACAATTGTCTCTTTTATTACTCATTATATGTTTTTCTCTTATACTTGTAATAGTAATAAAATTAAAATGGGACAGACATATCCCTAAACTAGTATAACTAAAGATTGAACCTAAGCAAAATAATATACAAGGCAGTACCATTAGGGATTCATCAAAAACAATTTCCACACAAGAATTAAGAATGTCTAGCCATCTCTTAAAGATGATAGGGAAGTATTGAGAATGTGTGGCAAGCTTCCCCATAACTCCCGAAATTATGGAAACTGCTTTTCCAAAAGGTACTCATATAGAAATTATCAATAATATATTAACCCTAAGTTAGTAGTATAAATAGCGGGAAACAATTTGTAAATAATTAACAAACAATCATGCAATTTTCACAAAAACCTCATATTCTACTCCTACTCTTTCCTTCGTCTAAGACCCGTTTAAGATTTTTCTTTTTATGAACATTCAATGTACCTCATACTTGCTAACCATGTACGAATGAGGATTGAGGTGTGTGAATATGATTGACGCCTGAGAAAAAATTTGGTTGATTGTGCTGATGTTTGTAGGAGTTGGATCAAAACACTGAAAGAAATTGTCAAAGCACAAAATTTACGAAAAATTAACGTTCCCAACTCCTTGAAGAAGATTTGACTCTTGATTTTTATGCCTTTGTATTGTTGTTGTTTTACTTGTGTTAGTTTGACTGACGGTAGTTATTTGCATTGGGGATGAACCATATAGTTGAGGTTTATATCTTCCAGTATTATTTGTCCATAACTACCTTCAGTCAAACTAACACATAGCAAAACAACAATAATGCAAAGAAGTAATAATTGAGAGTAGAAACTACTTCAAAGAGATGGGAAGATCAATTTTCTACATATTTCAGGAGCTTTGACAATTTCTTTCATTATTTCTCTCCAACTCATACAAACACTAGAACAAGCAACCACATTTTTTCTGATGCGAATCAAAGTAAGACGTCTCAATCCTCATTAGTACATATTCAACAACTATGGAGTACATTAGATTTTGATAAAAACAGAAAGATGAAATGGGTCCTAAAGAAAGGTGGGAGTAGGAATAGAATATGAGGCTTTTGTGAAGATTTATTGATTCTTTCTTAATTATTTTACTAATGGTTGCCCCTCTATTTTTATACTACTAACTTGGGGTTAATATACCATTAATAATTGTTATGTGTGTATCTAATAGTAGTGTTGTCATAAGTGCGGGAATTGTGGGGAAGCTTGTCACAAATCCTCTACACTTCCCTATCATCTTTAAGAGATAGTTAGATACACAATTCTTGTGTGGACAATGTTTTTGATGAGTACAGCCTTTTATATTATTTTTCTTAGCTTCAATATTTAAGTTATACTAGTTTCTGGATATTTGTGTTCCACCTTGTGTCCCATGTAAATTTTCTTAGGATTACAAGTCTAAGGAAAAAGCATATAATCAGTGATAAAAACAACAATCATATCATTTATATTTATATATAAAAGAGGGTCCTAGACCTAGTGACGTGATGCAACCAGAATACGAGAATTAGATTTATCTTTTCATATATGTTTTATCAATTCCTTCACAATATTTTTTTTACAATTCCTCCAAGGAGGTTCAATACAAAAAGTGACACCACAGTTGTCTTTCTATTCCTTCTTCTTTCTTTCTGCTCTCCCTATTCTTGCGTATTGAAATATACCCTCACTGTTTCCTTCCTTCATTCCTCCTCTGGAGCAAAAGACTCAAGTATGCTTAAAATATCACAGAGTAGTTCATCAAATCTTGAATCAGACAAACACCTTTCACTAATCATGATTCCTGAATATGTGACAAAATCATTATACAATTTCTTATATGCTTATGTTAAATTAATATAGACCCTTTCTTTTCATGATCATGCACAATCTTCATGAAAACATCATTTATAGGTTTATAGTTTCTTATAAATATGTATTTGAAAGTTCATAGTAAAAAATGATGATAAATGTATCGCTTCATGTGATTTGAATTGGAACGCATGTAATTGAATCAAAATCATCATAATAAGATCAAAATCAAACAATTGAATCAACACAATTAGAACCCATGGGGAATCGAATGAAAACCTAATCAATTGATGAAAATGAACTTGGTGAATAGAGAAACCTTTGGGCTCAATGAGTGAATGAAACTCAATGATGAAGCCCTACATACTTTGATAATCAAATTCCTAAAGAAATTGTGAAAAAGAAGACTTGATTTGGAAACCCTTGCTTCTTTTCCTTCAACTTGAGAGAGAGTTGAGGAAGTTGAATGCGGATGTAAATTGAGAATTCAAAGAAATAAGAGAGTTGGCGTAGTTTTAGGTGTAGAAGGGATGTTATATGAATTAGCAATTGGAATAAAACAACATAGTATAGGAATTTAATGCATCTGAAGAGATCAAATACCCTTAAAATAATTGTCAGAGAGTTCCTATTGTTTGGACCTACGATTCATATAATTTCCTATTGTATGTATTGTTCAACCTTAAAACCAACTTCACTAAGTCTGAAACCTTCCTGCAGAACCCACCTACGGCTCGTCAACCTTCGTAAGATTCGTCCAATTCATTCGCAGGTCAAACCTCAGAAGCTTGAAATTCCAAAACTCACCCCCAAGTCTACAACTTTCCTCCTACGTCCCGTAGATATTCCTACGGTTCGTAGCTTGGATCCTGCTTCAGTGCTAAAAATCTAAAATTTCTTTCTCCCTTCGACTTCCAACTTCTGAAGTATTACTGTCATAGTGTGGAATGTACGATGAACATTATAGAAGAGATTTATTATTTGTGCAAATAATATTTATTTAAATATTCTTATATTATATTTATTTATGTTATATATTACTAAAAGTGGAAACAAAAAATTTAAGTTAAAATATCAAAATAACCCTATAAAGTTGAGTAACTACATTAATACCATTAAAACAATAAGTAATTTTTTTCTAAGAAAATCCAAAATCTAAATTATTCATTTATGACAATGTAAAAAACTATTTCATGATAAATATTAGTAACAATTATTAAATAAATTAACAATGCCGTTACATCTTTTCTACTTCTTTGCGTTTTCGTATTAGTTTTTGCTGTCACTTTTTACTCTCTTTTTTGGCATAATTTCTCGTTTACTTATTGATTTTAGATTTCTTTTTTTCTTGCTGGTTTAACACTTATATATTTGTGTTAATTTCTCTGCTCTTTATTCATTTTTTTATTTATTAATTTTCTCCTTTATTTGCATTAAGTATTCATTTTCATAGCTCGTATACAATTATTTATTTAATTACTATTCTTACTATTTATAACTCTCATGTTTTTCATATCCATAACCTTTAACTATTTATTTAAAGCTTTAACAGATCTTTTGATATTCTCCATTTTTATATATCTAATTGATCTTTTTTTTTTTTGGTTTCATGAGACCCTTATCATGGTCACCCTTTCCATTCAATAGCTATAATGGTGAAGCGCTTTTCAGTGTTGTATAATTTGATTCATGCTTTACTTTGAATTGATGAAGAAGACTTCGATTTTTATTGGTTGTATGAGCACTGTCAACAACAACTCAAAAAGTTATATGTACAAATTCTTTATATTTCTTTTTTTTTCATCTGTATTGTTATTATTAAATTCCATAAAATGATATGTATGTTGCTTTTTTTGTTTACTTGTTATGTGTTTCTCTACTAAACTTAATCAACTAGCAAATACAAGTGTAGTAAGAACTGGTGGAAAGCGGATCATTTCCTGAGCAGGCACAATAACATCCAGTATGTTGGTCCTGATATAATAACTTAGATATCAAAGTTTTATATATACATATGTCTCTGACCAAACACAAGATTTACACAAGTAGACTTCTCCTGAATCACCATGAGGTGTCTCGGAGAATATCCACACGTGTGGTTTGGTTCATTCGTAAGGCCAAATTGTGTTTAAGGAAACATTCATGTTAATGGCATCGTTATTTTGTCTCAGCCATGGTGTTGTGTTTATTTTAGTGGCTTGTTATACTATAAATTAAAAGTGTCGAACTTTTGAAAGTACTCATATGTTTTTGTTAGAATGTTCTATATCTATTCACATCAAAAACAACCTCTATACCTCAGACAAGATGGGGTGTTTTGTGTACGCCTCACTTTTTCATAAGCGCACTCATGAGATCACATTGGTCATGGTGTTATTTGTTCTAGATCTAATCATACTTTTTGAGATAATATTTCTTACCTGCATTTCTTTTAAAATTTATTCACTTAACTTAAGGAAATGTGTCTAATTTATATGGTGAAATTTGTTTGTTTAAATGTCAATTGTTACTTTTAAAGAAAATTCGTTAATATTATTTCACTCTGACATACCCTATTGTTCTGTAATTTGGTAAATTACAACAACTTAGAAAATGCACAAGGTTGAACATACCATATTTACTTGTAAATATGTTACTCTTTCTGCTATGGAAACTGGACAACCAGCACTTTCCATTATCTCAAGTAAAATAGGAATTGAGACTTCGCATTCTCCATAAATCATTTGGAATAATATGCTTGCGTATCATCTTGGTTGTTAAAAGATTAGCTCTCTAGATTTTAAAATTAAATTCAGCATACATTCGTCAAATGTTTATGTCCTTGACCATTGCAGGTGCATTAAACTACTACGCTTCGTCAACACACTGCTAGCCTTGCAATCACAATATGTGTATTAGTGACGCTAGGCTGTTGTAATCTGCCTTGACTTTGTCAATTGCTAGCCCTTACACTAAGAATATATGAAGTCTTTGTTGGGTTTTATTTGCCCTGATTTCTTACCATAAATAGGTTTTCCTTTTAGAAAAATATTTTGGATTGACTAATCCTTTTATCTAGTAGGAAAAAGTTTAGGACTCTATAAATAGAAGAGTGTTCCTTCTAACTTAATCAGCATTTACAATGTAGTCTTAAAGGGCTTTGAGAGTTTTGGTTAGGGGGTGAATTTTTGGGTCACAAGCTTGATACGTTATCACTTCTGTGAACCTCTCATGTATTCCGAGTGAATTGGTTAAGGTTGTTTCTCTCTGTATTTTGTACTCTCATATTTATGGTGGATTGCTTATCTCCTTTATGGACGTAGGTCGATTGACCGAACCACGTTAAATCTTTGTGACTTTTGGTATATTTCTCGTTGTCTTCTTACTCGAGGTCTTTTGAGGTTTGTTTTGCAGCTTTCGCGTTTACACTTGATTATTTCCGATCCTAACAAGTGGTATCAGAGCCAGATTCAATGATCGAGTCAGCTTCAGTGGTTCGATAATCGATGATTGAACCAGGTTAGAAAGAGGTGTTCATCTTGGCGTGTGTAGTTTTAGCAGCAACCTTTTTTACAGTAATGAAGATTTTGTTGGAGAAATTGTTTCAGAAAGGTTCTCTGTGTTGAGACATAAATTTTGCAAAGGAGATTATGGAGATGAGAAGCAAGTTGTTGAAGATTAAGTAAAGAAGGTGGACAAATTTATTTTGTCAGAAATTTAGGCCAAGGGGGAGATTTGTTGGGTTTTATTTGCCCTGATTTCTTACCATAAATAGGTTTTCCTTTTAGAAAAAGGTTTTAGATTGACTAATCCTTTTTTCTAGTAGGAAAAGGTTTAGGACTCTATAAATAGAGGAACGTTCCTTCTAACTTAATCAGCATTCACAATGTAGTCTTAAAGGGCTTTGAGAGTTTTGGTTAGGGGGAGAATTTGTGGGTCACAAGCTTGATACGTTGTCACTTGTGTGAACCTCTCATGTATTCCGAGTGAATTGGTTGAGGTTGTTTCTCTCTGTATTTTGTACTCTCATATTTATTGTGGATTGCTCATTTCCTTTGTGGACGTAGGTCGATTGACCAAACCACGTTAAATCTTTGTGTCTTTTGGTATATTTCTCGTTGTCTTCTTACTCGTGGTCTTTTGAGGTTAGCTTTGCAGCTTTCGCGTTTACACCTGCTTATTTCCGATCGTATCAGTCTTCTCCACTCTTAGCAGGTTGTAATCCACGTGAAGATTATTACCCTCCAATTCTTAAATAGTATAATTGCTTATACTTTTAGGGTTTTTCGGTGATGACAATGTGATGGAATCGATCTCGTCTTCATCAGCTGAACCAATCGAAACTTTAAACTTAGTCATTTTAGCTCATTAATCTACCTTGTTCATCTATGAAACTAATAATCATGGGATTTGTGTGAATCCCTCAATTATATCTACTGCATGTAAGTCAAAATCCTTGTGTACTCGTCTAGAATAACAAGTTCTACTATTGCCTCGAAGCTGAACTCTAGCCTTTAAAATATGTAGATCCACAATCCACATATGTTATCACAAAAATTAAAGCTCTATCTAATTGCAGTTTTATCAATGTATAATGTCTTAATGGATTGAACCCCATTTAGGATTCATATGGATGATTCTACCACAATCAACTCAGAGAAAATTTGCATCCCTTTGTAGATTTCTTCAAATTAAATCCACATTGTTGATGGGGAATACTAGCTAAATTAAATCATAGATTTGATATTAATGGACACCCCATGCTCTCACTAGATAAAAGTACACAAATCTCTTGAATTTACTTCAAACTTTATCTTATCCTAATAGAAAATTTTACCTTATTAGCAGATTGAACTTACATGTAATAAGGAATGAACTATGATACACATACTATTATTTCCTCTAATTATCGTGTAGATGCCTCCTTAAGTATGGTATACCATATTTAGCTAGATTTAATATCTTCTTTTCTACTCTATGAATTTTTTGAATGCGGTTAATCTAAAAATCACGTGCAAAAGATAAAACTAAATTAGTAAAACATCTACAAGAATGTTTCCTTTTTAAGAGAATGTTTACTCTTGCGAAATAACTCTTCTCAATCTCCTAATGATACTAATATTCAATGCCACATTTTATTACCCTTTAATTTCCACTCTCCCTATAAAATATGCACCATAAGTAAAGAGTAAGACTCAATAATGATATTGACAATTTCATGGTCAATATAGTAATTAAGATTCTCCCTTATGTCTATAGATTTAAATATAATGTCGGTTATATCATGAATTTTGAAACCTTTAGCTACTACCAGATTAACACTATGATCCCTGATATAAAAAAGTTTTGGAACTAGCCATAAGTCAAAGACCTAATCTAGAGCCTCACACGTTGAACTAAGGTTGGTAACACTGTTTTATGTCCTAAATTAATGCATATCAATCATTTAGGAGGTTTTAGAGTTAAAACCTCAAGGAACGTCCATGACGTCCAATGAATTGTGAAAAAGAGGTAGTATGCCTTGGCATGTTTCATGGGGTTTTAAGAGTTGGAATTCAATGAAATTAGGTAAAAAGGTGTTAAACATATTTTAGAGTGTGTTTACGATCAAAACGTCTGGGTAAGATTCCCCAAAGACCACTTTAGGGTCCCTTGAGGAGGACCTTTCCAAAATGACCAAAACTCTCAAATGACAGTGTCCAATTACAAGACCAATCAACAAGCCGTTGTCTAGGCGACGAGGCATCGATGGCCTCCATAGGTGATGCCTTATCCATTTTCAAAATGTGTCCAAAAACCAAGTCTGTGACACCATCGACTGTTGTGCAGCACGGAGGGCATGAGCTAGTGTCGATTGACCTACAGACCGTAGGTCGGGGTCTCGTTGGTCAGTTCTGGTTTTTACTATCCAATTAAAGTAAGTCATTTAATTTAATTAGTTTGTTAGGTAGTTAATTAAGGGTTAGGGGAAGTCTAGTTAAGTTAATTAAGAGACTATATAAATACATAACCCTCATTAAACTAACCTAACTCACTTCAATCCCCAAATTTAAATCTCTTTTCCTTCTCTTTACTTTCTCTCTTCCCAAAGAAGACTTCACTGGAGACCAAGATCAAAGTTTTAGGGCAGCAAGAAGTTTACTTTTCTCCATTAATATTCAAGGATTGTTAAGGTATGTGAACTCTTCACCTTTTAAACTCCTATCCCCAAAGGGTTCTTTAAAATTGATTTCCAAACGTTGAGAAAAACATGGGTATCATTTTTAATCCAAAATTGATGTTCTAAATTGTTTTGTTGTTTAATTATTTTTATTATTATGAATGAATTATGATGAATTATTGCTGAATTAGGGTAGTTTTGATGTTATGGATTGATGTCGAACTGATTAGTGATGATGCAGTTAACTTAGCTCTTGTAATTAACTATTGTATGATGTTATTAAGCCTATTATAAGATGAATATGGTTGGTTGATGGTAATACCATGGAGAAGGATTGTGAAGGTGAATTGGTAAGACTTATTATATTGAATCATTACTTCAATTGTGATGGCTTATACTTGATGATGGTATTCAATTGAATTGTTGGTTGTGATTAGATTATATAGTTGATGGTATTGATTATATGGATTGTGATATTATGATTAAGGTTTAATGATATAAATTTGATTATGAATCACTTATGTTCCTTACTATGAGTTGATGATGATAATGTTTAAACCTCACATATGAGGATTGTTATGAAAGGAAGTTCTGATGCAATTCCAAATGAGCTGATAATTATGATATACAAAGGGTTAGTCCTCTATGAAATATATATTTCACTAGTTGGCCTTGATGGAAATCCTAGGAGGGTGTTTTTATAAAGTAAATAATATGCATATGTTGACTTTACATGTTGATGAACTCATATGATGTTAGTTTCACTTATGAAAATGTTATTGGTCTATATTGCTAAATATGAGGATGATTACTCATGATGCTAAGTTATATGATGTTAGATATTGCTTATGATCCTTTGTTTGGTTTATTTGGTTGTGTGGGATTATGGGACTTCACTTAATCATTGCACTTGTAAGCTTGGTGATGGGTTATGAGTAATGGTCTCACATATATTGTAATGTTATGAACTCTTGTTCATGATTTGTTGTTATAAAATGATGTTAGAGTTGATTGGTTATGAGATCTAGTATGCTACTACACATGTTGACTTGACTTTATTTGATGATGTTGGTCTTGTGTCAAGGAATATATGATGATTTTCTTATATGTGTTCTTGGTTGTGCATAAGGCTTTTCAAAGTAACTTGGCATGGTTTTGATCAAATGTCCTTTTAAGCATGATGTCAAACATTATATCTAAAATGCTAATCATCATACACTTTCATTTTTTTATTCAAGCTACAATCAAGGTGAGATCTTTAAGTATAGCTACAATAAAAGTGAGATCTTTAATTTTTATACTCCAATGATAAAAGAGTTTTAATGCTTATACTTTTGTGGATTTCAGGTGATTACACATTGATGAAATCGATCTCTTCTTTAATCCATTGAACCAATCGAAACTCTAAGCTTTGTCATTCAACTCATTACTCTACCTTTTTCATCTTCGAAACTAATCATCATGGAAGTTGTGAATTCATCAGTTATATCTACTACCACTAAGTCCAAATCTGGTGTAAATATAACTAGTCATGTAAAATAAGTTCTACTATTGTCCGGAAGCTTAACTCTAGCCTTCAAAATGTACAGATCCAGTATCCACATATGCTATGACCAAAAATAAAGCTCTATGTTTCAGCTCTATTTGAATGGATTGAACCCCATTCAGGATTAGTACCATCATTTAAGACTTTATTTAGATGATTCTACCACAATGAAATCGGAGAAAAATTTATGTTGCATCCTTTTGTACGTTTTTGCAGATCTGCCTTGTTGATGGTGAATTTTAGCAGAAACTAAAGTTTTGATTTGGTACTAAGGACAGTCCAAGCTCTCACCAGGTGTAAGTATACAAATCAATTGAATTTACTTCAAACTTTAGCTTATCATAATAGAAATTTTACCTTAGCAGATTGAACTTACATGTATTCTGTAATGGATCATGTACTATGATACGCATAAATCTATTATCTCTGTTAATCGTGTAGATGCCTCCTTATGTATGATGTAAAATATTTATCTAGATTGAGTATCTTCATTTTTGCGTTGTAAATTTCTTGAAAGATAAAACTTAATTAGTAAAAATTACTCAAGAATATTTTATTTTTCTAAGGGAATGTTTACTCTTGCAAAATATCTTTTCTCAATCTACCGATGATACTTATTTTCAATTCCACACTCCAAGATACTTTCCACTCACCCTATAAAATATGCGTCATATATAGCTACAACGTCAAATTCGTCACTGATTATTCGCTTTTGATGACAAATTTTACTTTTCGTGCTTAAATATATGAGACCCATACTGTTAGTGACGAACATAAAAAATCTTTGCAAAGTTTTGTAGACTAATGTTTCCAATCAAAAAATTAATTGGTGTTATTTTGTTAAGTAGTGTTAGTCACGAATTTATTTATCGGTGACATATTGTTTCATCACAAATAGTGTATGTAATTCATGACAAACTACGACATCAAATTTCGTCACTAATTATTCGCTTTTAGTGACAAAATTTATTTTCGTGCTAAATATGAGACACATATTTTCAGTGATGAAGCATAAATATCCATAGCAATGTTTTGTTCACTAATGTTTCCCACCAAAAAAATTATTCGTCTCATTTGTTAAGTTGTGTTAGCCATAAATTTAAAGTCATCGGTGACACATTATTTAGTCACTAATAATGTATCTAATTCATGACAACATATTTTTTGTCTTATAATTTATTAAATTTTTGACAGCAAAAAAAAATTCATCTAAAAAAATTTGTTGTTAAAATATGCACAAACTAAAGTTTGTAGTTAAATATTATAAATGTAAGCTATGACAATTTAGATTTGATTATGACATTTTTTCTTCACTATTAATATAAGTAATTGGTGACAAATATTTTATTGTCTCTGATCAATCTGTGATTCAGTGACAATGAAAAAATTGTCACAAAATATGTAAGGGGTTAAATAGCGACGACTTAAAATTTGTAGTGAATAATTTAACTATTTGCTACGAAAAAATTCATGGCTAAATAAAATTTTTTTTGCTACAATTGTTCATAATTATAAGTGACAACCTACAAAAAGAATAATGCGTGTGCTTCATAAGAAATTGACGGAGTCCATTCGTTATTTGACAAGTGAAAATATTAAAAACAAATAATTTGGTCGATTTTGTATAAATGGAAAAGTTCAATATATCAATTTTCTTAAATTACGCAATTATAAAATGTATCATTTCACAAATATAATATATAGCACTTTTGTTTTTTTTCTTTGATACACTTTCAGTGATAAGCACGATATAAAAATTATTTCTTAAGTCCTTTTGCTAATTTTTGTGTGTGTCTATTGCTTTGTGATTAGTAAACTACATAAACTAAGTCGATCTATTTGCTTCCATCAATAAATATGTACATATTTAATAGTAATTCCACATACGTACGTAGAGTAACTATACAGAGATAACATCGACTTAAAAACTTAAACTATGTGAAGGTGCGATATATTTCATGATTTTCTATAAAAATTTTCCATCAGTGTTAAAATTAAAATAAATTAAAAAATGAAAGCACAAATAAAAGAAATGGACTAACTAGGACTTCAAATGTATAATGAACTAACTATAGTGATGGGTATCAATATTCAACTTGAACCATTTATTCATTTTTTAAATAAAATCAAAAGTTTAATTTTAAAAAAAGTTATTATTGTACTAAATAATTTTTAAAATTTAAATAAATAAATAAATAAAATGACGAAAGTCGTACTGTATATATTTAAAGATATTTTAATATACTACACAATTTAATTAAAATATAATCTACATTTGAACGAATTATGACTGGTAAATTTTATACATTTGTTTATGAGTATAAATAATCATATAATATATTATTTCTACAAAAGTTAATTTTATAGAAGTGAATGAAGTAAAAAAAAATAAAACAAAAATGAAAGACAAGGGAGAGTTGATCTGATGTAAGGAATTTTCACAGAATAATGTGCAAGCTCCTGACCAGGGGCTGAAAATATATATATATATATATATATATATATATATATATATATATATATATATATATATATATATATATATTATA